GCAGCCAGGACGGATCAAGTGCAGCCTTTGGAGTGATATTAGTATACTCAAGGTCATTTTCTAGCAGGGTTCTGGGAGGCAGAGCTACAGGCCTTCAGACAAAGACAACAATCGCCACCTGAGGGTGTGACAACTCCCCTTCTGCCAAGTGTGTGTCACCTAGAGCTGCTGGTACAGTCAGGGGGACCAACAGTGGCCTCCCCTTGCAGGGCCTGTCCAAGCCTTATTAGCAAGCCATTCGCTCTATGACGAAATTCTAGCTTAGGTCAGATTCTACTCTAAACCAAGTCGTTTGTTGACCTGGACTCAACCAATATGTAAATGTCCCTAGAGGTGGAGCCCCCAGCACCCCTACCTTTATTTGGGGGATTCCCTGGAAATGAGGCTCCCAGGTCCTCTCCAGAAAGCAAGTTCAGATGGAGGTTAAGAAAGGGGTAGCAGAGAGAACTAGAACCTGAGTGCAAGAAGACACACTTGCCAATTTCATAATTCTGCATAATGGTCCCTATCTTTCTTTTTAAACTGTGCTTGTATGGTTTATTTTAGAAATGCTTTTGTGCTATCATACAACTGTAGGGGGAGAGGCACTCATATTTTACATTTAAAACCTAAGAAGCACAATTTCCACCTTTCATTTTAGAGGAGGAAAACATTCACCTTAAGGTTCACTGCTGGATCATGAACTTGCTCAAGGAGTCTGTTAATATAGTTTGGGATGGTGGGAAATAAACAAATAATCATTTACAATTATTACTTGGGCACATTTTCTTTTTCTATGAACATATCTGTATTCAACTTATCATTCGGTTAATTCATAGTCTAGTCCCTAAATCCCTTAGGGCCAAATTGAAAGGTCCAAAAACCTCCTACTTTGACTAAACAGCTCCAGGGACCAACACCTTCGTTAGCAATGAAAAGCAGAAGGTAGGCCCTAGAGCAAGAATTTGAAAGTCTGAGGATGTGGCTGTGTATCAGCCCCTTAAATTCTATGACAAATGGTACACGTATGTCATTTTTGGTTTGTTTTTTTTTTTCTTTCCAAGTTTGTCCAAGGTCTTCCTCAGCTCCCCAAAGGATTCCAAGAGAAATCCCCCAAGAAACAGCATCAGTAAGGATCCTAGCCGCTGGAGAGCTTTCAAGTGCATCTGCAATTGAAGATGGAACACTATGTCAAGAGGGAAAATTCAGAAGGCCTTCATCCTAGGGCTACCCACCCCTGCCACTAACCAGTTTTTTAACCTTAAGCAAGTCCCTCAAACATTCTATCCCTCCGTTTCCACATCTGTAAAATGAAGATCGTGGAAGCTGGATGATCACTTAGCTTCAGGACTCTTAAAAATACCAAGATTGTGAGGCAGAGTTTCAGCAAACACAGGAAAAGACATCAAAAAGGCCTGCACAAAATCCTGCCTGTTCCCAAAAGAGCTGCTTAAAATACTCACCACTGCCTTCCTTGGAGGGGTCAAAGATAGAAGCCACCTCTCATTTCCTTTTTTTCTTCTATTTCAGAAAGCCAAATTTGAAGCTTCGCAATAATGCCCCTTGAAGGGATTTGAACTATGAAGTTCATGCAAAAAAAAATATAGTAGCTCTGTAAGGATGCATAAGAAGCTCAAAGGAGTCAAACAGAATTTCTCTAAAGCCTCATTCCAAATCATGTAATCACTGCAGCACCTTATTTTAGCCAGTCTCACCTACATCTGTTAATATGTGCAACTGATGAAAATTAATTATGGGTGTCATGAAAATGGATGTTTTAATATAATCCTGGAAGTCTGGCTCAAAACTATTGCTGTTACAAGAGAAAAGTATTTCCCCTCACACCGTGCAGCTCTTTTATACTTTCAGTAATAAATGTCTGATTTTCACAAAAGTGCAGGTGAGATGGAAGTCCTCAACCACTTAGCACGACTTCCTCATCATCACATAAGGCTAAATTTCACTAAGGGCAACTGTTTTTTTTTTTTTTCTGTTGGTACACCTGTGTATATTCTGTAGGACCCTAACTAGGCTGTGGTACCATAAATCGTCAACCTAATTATCAGACCTCGTAAGTCCAAAGCAAACTTACATTGTGGGCTGCTGGTGGCAGCAAATTAAACTGAAGGCTTTTCATAGGCACCTGCTAATGAAGAGAAGTGGATGAAAACTGACCGTGTTTTTACAAGCCATTACCAAATGGATGCGTACAGCGCCCCTAAAGGACTCGAAAACCCATTCCACAAAAGGATAAACTAACATCTGAGGTAACAAATCAAAAGTCTCACGATGAGTCAAGTATGACAAGTCATACTTACATGACCTGTACAGACCTAACTTCAATAGCACTTCCTTCTCTAAGACCCTGAAGAGAGAGATTAGCACCAGACTGGAGTTCTGCATCTCACATACTCGAGACTCACTTCCAGAACACAGCAAACAGGGTGGAAAGGAGTTGTTGGTTCTGAACAGAGCACGCAGTGGCTCGCTATGCATGAGCATTGTCACTGTGTTTCCAGGCTCAGTCTTCATCTTCATGTGCTTCAAAGTCAACAGTAAAAGGCAATCATGTTTGCAAGTACCGTTTCTCAATGATCACAGGTTCTGATAACTCAAGGAGAGGAATGAGTTAAAACTCCAGGTAGACCAGGCTAATGAACATGAACGTTCTACAGCACCATCCCATCCCACTGAACAAGGTTAGAGCTGGAAAATGTGCAAAAGGGGAACATGAAAAACATCCAGAAGTGACTCTGCTGGAGAAATCCCTGCTCGGGAGAAAGCGCAAACTTGGCTTTCCTAACTAAATGCCGCTTTCCAGATGAGACCCAATCCGGAGGGCTGGACCCCTTGTGGTCTTTAAACCCAAAACAAGAGCGTGGGTGTCAGATTTCCTGGCCCAATCCCAAAGAGGTCAAAAATTAGTTAGATTTAATTGGCAAAAATTAGAGGTACTACGAAACCAGCCCCTCCTTCCTTCATTGCCAAGCTCTAGGAAAAGCTTCAGCAGGGAATGTGGAGATAAAATATTTATTTGGGGAATAAGAGGGTAAAAAAAGATGACTGTCTTATGGGATCGAGGGTGTTTCCCGAATAAATGTATCATTCAGATTTCCTAAGCTGAGAACTCAGCTCCAGCTCCTTTTAGAAGAATGAGGACCACCGCGATCCTTCCACAAAATTCGGTGAGACTGCTTTAGAAGACACCAAAAGGTTAGACTTCATCTGGAGTTACTCCAGCATAAACCAGACAAAGGAATTCCTGAAAGGCTATAAGCATTTTTTTCTTACAAGCACCCACAGGAATAGGTCAATGTAAATGTCGTGTAAACAAAGCAGTTTATTACTAACCATAGTTTGTTTCTCTTGTGAGAAAATTTTAATCCACTGCAACTGCACCCAACATTCACACGTAACTACCCCGAAGAAGAGTAAAATATGGATTCATAATTGACCCTAGCCTCGGGTTTTCTTATGCTTGGAAGGCAAGGGGTGTTGGGGGTTGGGGAATCCGAGGGTTTGATACTTTCTCCTTCGGTGTCTGTGATCCAGTATAGGAGGACTTTAATTTCCCTTCCAATCACTCCTACAGAGGCCCGAGTGTCTGAGGAAATCCACAGACAACAATCAAACCTTTCATTTCAGGGTTGCCTTCCCACTATAGCCCTTCCTGTGCCAATCAGGTTTGCGAAGCGTTTCCCCTATTCTGCATTTCATGAATCAATTGCAAAATCTGCCAACCTCTGCCAGTTCCTCTTGTACTCAGCTGAGAGGTTCCCCCTTCCCTCCCTGGGTAGCACAAGGCTGCTCTGGTTTTTAACTGGCGTAACGTGGAAATGCACTGTAGGAGCTCACTAACTCTTTCACAGCCAGCTACAAGTGAGAGTCTGGGGCTCCGACCCCATCTACTCGGAAACTGACCCGCCAAGCTCAGGTTAAAGCAGATTTGTAGAAACTAGCTTTGACCCCAAATCCTGCGTGTCAGTGACTGTCACTGGAGGGAAAAGGAAGAGAAAGAAAGGCTACAAAGTATCCGACTCAGTTACTTAGCAACTGGACAAAACTAGCCTCACTACAGAGGGTAAGGAGGCATCTCACGCCCATTCAAAGAGTAACAGTCTCCGATTGACATGCAAATAATAAAGACAAAAGGGAAAGGGAAATCTAAATTAGCAACTGGAGTTTAAGCAAGTGGGGCTGGGGCCCAGATTTTAAAAACAGCTTCTCCCTAGGAAGGAGATAGGATACAAACATACAAACACATATACATGAATGAATGAATGGGTGAATGAATGAATGGGTGAATGAATGAGTGAGTGAGTGAGTGAGTGAGTGAGTGAGTGAGTGAGTGAGTGAATGAATGAATGAATGGAAGAAAGATCACAGGCCCGGATCAGCTTAAGGTCTCCCTTCGCAAAAGTCAATGCCATGGAAGGTAGGGAGAAGCCAGGCACAGAAAGTTCAGTAGCGTAAATTAAAACACTTCCACCACTAACGTAAATTTAAGGTGTACAGAAATCTGACAACTGGAGGCTGCGAAATTCCCGGGAAAGCAGTACCCCTGCTCGTGAGAAAAGCAAATAAAGCATCAATCTTGGAGGGGGGTGGGGAGGTCTCCAGACTGTGGGTGGATTCAGAGCCTCTTCGGGGTCCCTAGACCTCCTCACAGACACCCTCCCTCACCCACTGGTGAAGCACGGTTTCCAAACTTGGCTCAAACCCACGCCTTTCACAGAAAACACATGGCCCTGAAGGATTTCCAAGCCAGAGGGTGACACGGTCGCCTACTTGGCCCAGGAAAGTGCTCCGGGCTTCTCCCTTTGCCCAAGGAGCTCAAGCTCTCGGTCCCCAGCTCCTAGCCACGGGCCTGAACCAGGCTGCTCGGTCCCAGGCTCCCTCCAAGCCAGAGGGGAAGAGGCCGGAGGGCCCCTCTGCCCCACCCCATCCCCCAACCTCACACCTGGCTGAGGTGGGCAGGGCCCCTGGCCGACAGGCAGAGGCCTGACAGCCGAGCCACTTACTTCTCATACTCGGTGTTGTCTCTGTCACAGCGAGAATCCTTGTGCTTTTGCCAATCTTTGCCGTGCTTGCAGGTGGTGAGGAGCACCACGTCCTCTCCGTTATGGACGTGATATAAGGCATTCCTGGTGTCCGACCCTATCCCTGTCAGGTACCTCTTCCCCTTGAATACCAGCATATACTTCCTGAGAGGAGGGATGGTGTTAAACTTCAAAAACCCCCTCTCCCCTCCTGTCCTCGGATGATCCTTAGAAAAGAGGGGAATGGAAACATCAAAGTTGGGTCGGAAGTTTTCAGTACTGATGCTGGCTTTGGCCAGCATCGCCTGGCCAATGTCAAACCCCACGTCCTCGGTGTAGTCAGGCCAAGTGCCGGAATATAAATTAAAAATTAAATGGTTCCTACCATTGTTCCACAAGTGGAGACTCTGCACTTTGGATCTCAAATTGTGCACATACTGAGGTGACAACTGGTCTCTGTCTAAAGTATCCAGACTCAGGACAAAGAGGCACGCCTGGCTGGGGTCCGAGGTATAGAACCTGGAGCCCTCGATGGCCGCTAGAATGTTTTGGTAACTTTCGGCGATTTTCTCCCCTTTTTGCTGCGGGTACACGTAGACTTTGAAGCCGTTTTTCTTGCAAAGGGTGAAATCGAAGCAGGACTCCATGCGGCACTTCTTGCCTTTGTAGATGCTCGAGTTGGCGTCTCGCTTCTGCCGGGGGGATATGTGCACGCTGGAATCCTCGTTTTCCAATTGATCCCAAGGAACGAAGGGGCGCAGAGCGTCCGGGAAGCGGGGCCAGAAATGATCCGGACTCGGGTGGTGCAAGCCATTCCGACCGCTGTGCTCTTCTCTCCGGCTGTGGCTCCTTGATGCCCTAAACTGCAAGCCTCCGAAATAAAACAAAAGGGCGAGACAAGAGCCAGCTGAGAGCAGGATGAAATAGCGTTTTTTGGCCTGCATGTGTCCTGCCTGGGTCAAGAGGGTTGTAAATAAACACGAGGATCACCCAAGTTTCCCAATCAACACTTTCAGCTCCAGTCCGCCATCTTCCCGCCTGTAAAGACTTCAAACTCTCCGCTCCCACCTTCTCTGGATGCCTTTCCCCAAGCCGTGGACTGATCCAGCGCATGTGGGCGATTTCTTTAACTTTCTCCCCTTCGGTCTTTCATCTTTGGCTTGCACAATGGACGGGAGAAAGCGGGGCTGAATATTTCTCACCCAGGGCGGGCGAGCAGCGGACTGTAATTTTCTTGCATGCAACAAGACGGAGGAAAAGAAAGAGAGGGGGGAAAAAAAGCTCCCGATGCCCAATCAATGGCAAGGCGAAGTGATTTCCTTGCCTCTCGGATTCCTCTCGGCAGCGTGGAAAACGAGCCCCGGGAAAGCAACTTCAACTCATCCACACTCCCGTGCAGAGCACTCCGGTTCCAACAAGTCAGCCGATCCCCGGGTTCAGCCGGCTAGTGCATCTTGCAGCTGGGGCGCCGTAACCTCACAAATCCCTGCATCTCTCTTTATTCCCTTCTGCAGCGGCTCCAAGACTCCGGCGGTGTTTACTCCTGCGCTCGCGGGGCCGGCCCCCGGGACGCGCGGCGGCCCGGCTGGAGGCGGCG